TCATGATTTGAACAAACTTGAATCTACACTACTTGAGCATGCTTCCATATAAATATGATGAATTATGGCTTTGTCATTCTTGAGAAGAAGATTTTTAAAGAATTTTCCTATATATTTCTATGTAAAACTTTGGTCGGCCATTTTGGCCCCGCCCTACCCCCGGGGGTCATGATTTGAACAAACTTGAATCTACACTACTTGAGCATGCTTCCATATAAATATGATGAATTATGGCTTTGTCATTCTTGAGAAGAAGATTTTTAAAGAATTTTCCTATATATTTCTATGTAAAACTTTGGTCGGCCATTTTGGCCCCGCCCTACCCCCGGGGGTCATGATTTGAACAAACTTGAATCTACACTACCTGAGCATGCTTCCATATAAATATGATGAATTATGGCTTTGTCATTCTTGAGAAGAAGATTTTTAAAGAATTTTCCTATATATTTCTATGTAAAACTTTGGTCGGCCATTTTGGCCCCGCCCTACCCCCGGGGGTCATGATTTGAACAAACTTGAATCTACACTACTTGAGCATGCTTCCATATAAATATGATGAATTATGGCTTTGTCATTCTTGAGAAGAAGATTTTTAAAGAATTTTCCTATATATTTCTATGTAAAACCTTGGTCGGCCATTTTGGCCCCGCCCTACCCCCGGGGGTCATGATTTGAACAAACTTGAATCTACACTACCTGAGCATGCTTCCATATAAATATGATGAATTATGGCTTTGTCATTCTTGAAAAGAAGATTTTTAAAGAATTTTCCTATATATTTCTATGTAAAACTTTGGTCGGCCATTTTGGCCCCGCCCTACCCCCGGGGGTCATGATTTGAACAAACTTGAATCTACACTACTTGAGCATGCTTCCATATAAATATGATGAATTATGGCTTTGTCATTCTTGAGAAGAAGATTTTTAAAGAATTTTCCTATATATTTCTATGTAAAACCTTGGTCGGCCATTTTGGCCCCGCCCTACCCCCGGGGGTCATGATTTGAACAAACTTGAATCTACACTACCTGAGCATGCTTCCGTATAAATATGATGAATTATGGCTTTGTCATTCTTGAAAAGAAGATTTTTAAAGAATTTTCCTATATATTTCTATGTAAAACTTTGGTCGGCCATTTTGGCCCCGCCCTACCCCCGGGGGTCATGATTTGAACAAACTTGAATCTACACTACCTGAGAATGTTTCCATATAAATATCATGAATTATGGCTTTGTCATTCTTGAGAAGAAGATTTTTAAAGAATTTTTCCTATATATTTCTATGTAAAACCTTGGTCGGCCATTTTGGCCCCGCCCTACCCCCGGGGGTCATGATTTGAACAAACTTGAATCTACACTACCTGAGCATGCTTTCATATAAATATGATGAATTATGGCTTTGTCATTCTTGAGAAGAAGATTTTTAAAGAATTTTCCTATATATTTCTATGTAAAAACTTGGTCGGCCATTTTGGCCCCGCCCTACCCCCGGGGGTCATGATTTGAACAAACTTGAATCTACACTACCTGAGCATGCTTCCATATAAATATGATGAATTATGGCTTTGTCATTCTTGAGAAGAAGATTTTTAAAGAATTTTCCTATATATTTCTATGTAAAACTTTGGTCGGCCATTTTGGCCCCGCCCTACCCCCGGGGGTCATGATTTGAACAAACTTGAATCTACACTACTTGAGCATGCTTCCATATAAATATGATGAATTATGGCTTTGTCATTCTTGAGAAGAAGATTTTTAAAGAATTTTCCTATATATTTCTATGTAAAACCTTGGTCGGCCATTTTGGCCCCGCCCTACCCCCGGGGGTCATGATTTGAACAAACTTGAATCTACACTACCTGAGCATGCTTCCATATAAATATGATGAATTATGGCTTTGTCATTCTTGAAAAGAAGATTTTTAAAGTATTTTCCTATATCTGTCTATGTAAAACTTTGGTCGGCCATTCTGGCCCCGCCCTACCCCCAGGGGTCATGATTTGAACAAACTTGAATCTACACTACCTGAGAATGTTTCCATATAAATATGATGAATTATGGCTTTGTCATTCTTGAGAAGAAGATTTTCAAAGAATTTTTCCTATATATTTCTATGTAAAACCTTGGTCGGCCATTTTGGCCCCGCCCTACCCCCGGGGGTCATGATTTGAACAAACTTGAATCTACACTACCTGAGCATGCTTTCATATAAATATGATGAATTATGGCTTTGTCATTCTTGAGAAGAAGATTTTTAAAGAATTTTCCTATATATTTCTATGTAAAACCTTGGTCGGCCATTTTGGCCCCGCCCTACCCCCGGGGGTCATGATTTGAACAAACTTGAATCTACACTACCTGAGCATGCTTCCATATAAATATGATGAATTATGGCTTTGTCATTCTTGAGAAGAAGATTTTTAAAGAATTTTCCTATATATTTCTATGTAAAACTTTGGTCGGCCATTTTGGCCCCGCCCTACCCCCGGGGGTCATGATTTGAACAAACTTGAATCTACACTACTTGAGCATGCTTCCATATAAATATGATGAATTATGGCTTTGTCATTCTTGAGAAGAAGATTTTTAAAGAATTTTCCTATATATTTCTATGTAAAACCTTGGTCGGCCATTTTGGCCCCGCCCTACCCCCGGGGGTCATGATTTGAACAAACTTGAATCTACACTACCTGAGCATGCTTCCATATAAATATGATGAATTATGGCTTTGTCATTCTTGAAAAGAAGATTTTTAAAGAATTTTCCTATATATTTCTATGTAAAACTTTGGTCGGCCATTTTGGCCCCGCCCTACCCCCGGGGGTCATGATTTGAACAAACTTGAATCTACACTACCTGAGAATGTTTCCATATAAATATCATGAATTATGGCTTTGTCATTCTTGAGAAGAAGATTTTTAAAGAATTTTTCCTATATATTTCTATGTAAAACCTTGGTCGGCCATTTTGGCCCCGCCCTACCCCCGGGGGTCATGATTTGAACAAACTTGAATCTACACTACCTGAGCATGCTTTCATATAAATATGATGAATTATGGCTTTGTCATTCTTGAGAAGAAGATTTTTAAAGAATTTTTCCTATATATTTCTATGTAAAACCTTGGTCGGCCATTTTGGCCCCGCCCTACCCCCGGGGGTCATGATTTGAACAAACTTGAATCTACACTACCTGAGCATGCTTTCATATAAATATGATGAATTATGGCTTTGTCATTCTTGAGAAGAAGATTTTTAAAGAATTTTCCAATATATTTCTATGTAAAACTTTGGTCGGCCATTTTGGCCCCGCCCTACCCCCGGGGGTCATGATTTGAACAAACTTGAATCTACACTACCTGAGGATGTTTCCCCATAAGTTTCATCTTTCCTGGCACAGTGGTTCTTGAGAAGAAGATTTTTAAAATATACCACTAAATTCTCATTAATTCCCAATTATCTCCCCTTGAATAAGGGCTTGGCCCTTCATTTGAACAAACTTGAATCCCCTTCACCCAAGAATACTTTGTGGCAAGTTTGGTTGAAATTGGCCCAGCGGTTCTTGAGAAGAAGTCGAAAATGTGAAAAGTTTACAGACAGACAGACGGACAGACGGACAGACAGACAGACAGACGGACGCCGGACAAAATGTGATCAGAAAAACTCACTTGAGCCTTCGGCTCAGGTGAGCTAAAAATGACAATCTAGTGTCTGGTGATGGTAACATCGAATATAAAGAGTGTTTATTGTTTGTTTCTTGGGACCAAATATCTTGTACACATTCTAAAGAGAGTAAGGGGCGTTTTGATTCAAATGCTCCAGAAATATAAGGGAAGTGTTTGAGTTTGAGTAATAATTGGTACTGAAAGAAGTTTGAAACCTACCCACAAAATAGTATTTTCGAGTTTGTAAAAATTATATTTTTGGTGTGAGGGTTTGGTTTGGTCAATTGCAAGTTGTTGAGGTAAGAATTAGAAAGAATAAATCCAAAACTAAACTTAACTGTTCGTGCGCAATAAATGTACAGTTTTTTTCAATAGATGGCACTGTAGCTCTCCGGTCTGTCAAAATCTTTTTTCAGAGAGCTACAGTTCTGCAGCTAATTTAAGAGCAGTCCCATGATCTTGACTATTCAAATGCAATAGAAATCATTTTTAATGTTTCTTGTTGTATCTCTATTGAATCAGTTCTAGCTAACTTGAATCTGAAAGCATGAAACTGTATCTATATACTTCCTGTGAGATCTCTCAGATAACAATGTTCAACTCCAATCAGTACTTTCAGTACTTTGATATTATGTCTAAAGTAAAGACAAACAATAATCCAAGGAAAGTATAAGATTTCAAAAATGTTGCTTTTTTGATTATTCTTAGATCTTTAAGTTAAATTTCATTGAGAATAAGATTTTTATACTTTTAAAAGTTTTGAGTGTCCTCAATCAAATGTCGTCGTAAAATTTGAACAAGCCCTATACTTTGACTCAGTGGTAATAATTTAAAGTCTTGACATGTTAGCGACATGTTACTTTTCTGTTACTACAAAGCATTCAAACTGTAGTTTATTTGAAAGCTATGAACCAAGTTTCAGCCTGATTTAACACGAATTAATTAAACTTTCATGAATATTAATGCCCATCAGTATCTTCGGGACTTGTGTTTGTGCAGCACATAAGTTTCAAGCCTGTGCATTGATTTTGTTCACAAACGCATATTTTTGCTGTTTTTAAAAAACACTGACACAAACGTTAAGAGAAACTATTCTACTAGTCAGTATTCCTCTGCTTTTATGCAAGAACTTAAAATATTGCAATATAAAATTTTGATTTAAATTTAATACTTAGTAACAGTTGTAATCGGGCGACCCATACTGTATGAAAATAAATATAAAAGAATTTCGATCCACTCATTCAATGTATGATATATACAATTGCAAGCAGAAGTTTAATATCAATTTATGCTTGTAAATCATATTCAATAAGTTATAGATAGAAATTGAATACAAACCTCCAAAAACTTCTTTTTCCAAAACAGTTTGCTTTTCTAAGAAAGAAATGATTAAACTTTTAGTTCTCACAATAAAATTGCAGAACACAATAGAGGAGCCCTCTTTTATGTTACCAGTGTAACATGTTTCGTTATTTGGAGTTTTTATGGTCACATTGTTTGATTGTGTACCTGAAAAAAGAAAAAAAAATTCTGAAAATGAAAATACAAATCCCACATTTTAAGATTCTACATTTCCCTTTTTTGAATAGAAAACTCTTTTAACCTTAAAAGAAACATCAGTACATTACCATGAATAATCAAGGCCGATATTATAAAACTTCCAATAAATTCAATTTCTGTTTTTAATATCTGCTCAGATGTACTTAAACTTCCATCAAGGCTTGCTGTGGAGTTGGACGATCTGTATGCCAAATTCACTGTAAAAAAGCAGATTTAAGATACTAGTACTTAAATGTTATATTGACTTACAGTGCTAGAGTAACCATATGGTTTGCTGAAAAAAGACGGGAATGGTAACCTTTCAAAAACAGTTTATGAAAAATGTGATGACCTCGTCCTCTCTATTGTCATCTTCCCTTGATTTAAACAATATTTTTTTCAGTATAAACTGAATAGATTGGGCAACAGGCTTAAAGCCTATAAATACCCTCTCTATAGTCAACTTCCCTTATTTGTGTATAGCAAAAATTTGAGAAAATATTTACTTGTGTCCAAGCACCTTTGACAACAAAATCTTAAGTCAGATTTAGCAACTTCTACGACCCTTAAAATTATACATGTACGTAGTTTTCAAGTAAATCTTATTGTTTGGTAATACATTATTTGTTATTTTTCATATTATTTTTAAGATCATTGCTTCTGTATTGGATTTTGCCTGCAGAGAGTTTCATGCAAGTGATCAACTTACTAGCTTAGGGCTTGTGTAACTTGTAAACAGAAGATTCTTACTCTCCTAGTATTTTCGTCTGTTTCTAGGAGACTCGTGTCCCCCTCTTTTGACGAAAAGTTTTGGTAACTGGATTGATATTTTTCTTTACCTTCATCTTAGAATTTCAGTTCATTCCGAAAAAATATTCTGAAAAGTGTCCGACGACAGGCACTACGACACAATCAACACTGAGAGAAATGTGAAACGTTAAATAACAAGAGGCCCATGGGCCACATCGCTCACCTGAGCACTGTGGCTAGGAAAAAGCAGAAATTGGTTTATTATTGAAAAATTTAAATCCAAAAGTAGTCCCATGACCAATCATGGCTTTGCTATTCTTGAGAAGAAGATTTTTAAAGAATGTTTCTATATATTTTTTTGTAAAAATTGGTCAGCCATTTTGGCCCCGCCCTACCCCCGGGGGTCGTGATTTGAACAAACTTGAATCTTCACTACCTGAGGATGCTTCTATATAAATATGATCAATTATGGCTTCGCTATTCTTGAAAAGAAGATTTTTAAAGAATTTTCTTATATATTTCTTTGTACAACTTTGGTCGGCCATTTTGGCCGCGCCCTTCCCCCGGGGGTCATGATTTGAACAAACTTGAATCTACACTATCTGAGGATGCATCCTTATTTATATGATCAATTATGGCTTTACTATTCTTGAGAAGATTTTTAAAGAATTTTCTATATATTTCTATGTAAAACTTTGGTCAGCCATTGTAGCCCCGCCCTACCCCTGGGGGTCATGATTTGAACAAACTTGAATCTTCACTAACTGAGAATGTTTCCCCATAAGTTTCATCTTTCCTGGCACAGTGGTTCTTGAGAAGAAAATTTTTAAAACATGCCACCAAATTTTTATTAATTCCCAATTATCTCCCCTTGAAAGAAGACGTTGGCCTTCATTTGAACAAACTTGAATCCCCTTCACCCAAGGATGCTTTGTGGCAAGTTTGGTTGAAATTGGCTCAGCAGTTCTTGAGAAGAAGTCGAAGATGTGAAAAATTTACAGACAGACGGACAGACAGACAGACAGACGGACAGACAGACAGCTCGACAGACAGACAGACGGACGGACGCCTGACAAATTGTGATCAAAAAAGCTAACTTGAGCCTTCGGCTCAGGTGAGCTAAAAACCATTAATTGGTTAAAAGAAACACATGACAGAAACGCATGTTTCATATTTGGACACTTTGAAGTCCCGTTTCTTAGCAATGATTCAAAGCAAGATCATCAGCGTAAAAATGGCGCCTCTTTTGGTCATTAAAAGATTCTTTTCTCTACATATTTTTACGATAAAATTTGAAAAATTATAAATTGTACAAAGTAGAATTTACACTTCCGGACATAAAACTGTGACTGACCAGGGTTTTGCTGTTCTTAAGAAGGTTATTTTCTTTTAAAAATATTACTTTATATTCCCACGTAAAATCTCATTTGCCTATAAGCAACCCTATCCTTTAACGCGGGTAATTTTGATTTAAATAGAAAATTCAAATTAAAAACATGTGAGAAAGAACTCACGTAAGTTTTATCTTTTCTAGTCTGGTAGGACTTTAGAAGATTTTTTTAATGAACCAACCATTTTTTCACCATTTTTTGAGCTCCTAGTATCTCCTCTTGGATTACGGTTTGGCATTTACTGATTTTACATATCTGAATATCATTCACCCAGTGATAGCGTATATTTAGTTAAAATTGGCCAACTGCTTCTTGAAAATGTAACAAGATTACAACGACGATGGTGACAGCAGCTAAGGCAAAAATAAAAAAAAAAACGGATTGTTTGATCAGAAAAACTTCCTTAAGGACGTTCGATCCTGTGCTTTTGAGTGGATTTGGTTCTGTCCTTTATTTATGGAATTCTGCGTCTTTTTTAAGTTTTAGAACTAAATTTGGATTGTACAGTGCAAATTAAACTACTTTAAATTAAAAAAAAAAAGGGATTGAATTTCACTCAAGTAGAATTAAGCTAGGAACTATATTTTGTGGCGGACGGTTTTTTTTTTAAAAACGAAAATGATCCTTTTTTTTCCCTTTGGAACTAAAACAGTACTTTTCATTTTAGATTCCTATTTTTCCATGCTGGTTGCACACAAAGCTGTTTTTGCAGTGAAATGTGCTATGCTGGTTCTGAAAAATCTATTAAATTATTTCTTATGAATTCTTTCAACGAATTATGAAAAATATAGTAATTATATTCTGAAAATCCGAGAAAAAAAATTGAGCCAATTTTAATGTAAATTTGACACTTTTTTTTAGTGATATCTGAAAATTTACATCATACACCCACAATTTCGATGTTCTTTTCTAAATATTTAAGATAACTTTGACCTATTTGCTTATATTCAGAAAAAGTTTAAGACTTTAAAATAATTTTTTTGCTTATCAGATTTTCAATTCCAGAAAAATCACATTTTATTAGTGCAGAAAGGTCAAATACTAGTAATTGATTATGCCAAGCAATTTGAGACTCTTAGTCACAATTTTAAAGTATCTTTTTAAAATAAACTTAGAATTCATTTTGTTTCATGCTTTAATTGGATAGAAATATTGGAGGGAAAACGTCGAAGATGTCATTTTTAATTAAGGAGGCTGGTTGGTCAACAAATTAATCACAAATTAACCACCAGATTTAACTTATTTTTCAAGATACGGTATCATTAACTGTCAACTATCATTTGGCAAAGAAAAAATTCATACATTTTAGTTTTAAAATTTGATCATTTTTGTATATCTTTATATGGAGCTCTCCTTTTAAAGGAGATTGAAATAGTCTAAAAATGGCTGCCACCCCCAGCCTCTTTAAGACACAAGTTTCAGTGCAAAAATGTACATATTGAATGTACTGAAGCGCTACAATGTAAAAGAAGCATACTGACACCCAATTTTCATTTGAATTTTAATTTTGCTATGTATGTAGAAACTAAAAATATACTAAGCGAAAAAAGTTTAAGACTTTTTAAATATCAGGATCCAATGTCGTTAAGCCGTCTACTCAGGTGAGCTACACAGAACGTGTCATACATAAAGAAATCTCAATTAATTCAAAATCAATTTTCAATTACTTAATTGAAATCCTAGAGGTAAGGAAAAGAATTCAAATAAAATGTCAATTCAAACAAGGTAACTCTTGGAATCTGTACCTATCTTTTATTTTGAGAACAAAAAACCTAATCATTTCTTTCTTAGAAAAGCAAACTGTTTTGGAAATAGAAGTTTTTGGAGGTTTGTATTCAATTTCTATCTATAACTTATTGAACATGGTTTACAAGCATAAATTGATATTAAACTTCTGCTTGCAATTGTATATATCATAAATTAAATGAGTGCATCAAAATTCTTTTATATATTTTTTTCATACAGTATGGGGCGCCCGTGTGGCGAAGTGACTAGAGCGTCTGCTCTAGAATCACAGAGTATACAGTTGATCTTTCTGTCGCGGGTTCAAATCCAACTGTTCCGTCGTTTGAGACGGTGTAAATCGAGGTCCTATGAGAGGTGGGGGTGGGGGATACTTTAAGCGGTGCGGGCAGGGAGATAATATATAAAATTTCATTAAAAATCTCCAAACCTTCTTGAAATGTAGATGTGAAATGAACTTCTAAAGCACAAACCAAATTCAGATTTTTTTAAAACTTGACCTTTGACTTTTTGACCTCAAAATTGGGATTTTTTTTACTCCATAGGGAGTTGTGGTATAAAACTTTACAGCAAGATCTCTTCTGGCGATATCGCGTTAAAACAAAAAAATATTAAAAAGAATGAATTTACGACCTTGGCCTTAGGATTTCAAAATATACAGGAGTCTTCCGTAGACCACTGAGAGTTGTAATATAAAATTTTATTGCAAAAGCTTAAAACCTTCTAGAGATATCACTCCAAAACAGAAGTGTTACAGACAAACAGAGAGAGAGAGAGAGAGAGAGAGAGAGAGAGAGAGAGAGAGAGAGAGAGAGAGAGAGAGAGAGCTGGCTTACGGACAGACGAAACCAAATTAATATCCACCACTTCAGTGAAAGTAGGTACCCGCGTGGCACAGTGGTAAGCGCATCTGCTCTAGAGTCGCGAAGTTAGGAGTCGATCCTTTCGTCGCAGGTTCGAATCCCACTGTGGGATGTGGAGACCGGTCCTTCGGATGAGACCGTATACACTGAGATCCATGTTGCTGGGACGAAAATGATACCTCACTGCTCAATGGCCCTGGGTGCCGAGTATAAGACGAGATTTGCTGCTCTCCACCGGCAAGTGGTGGCGTCTCCATATGAGTGAAAACTTCTCGAGGGACGTTAAACAATATACAATCAATCAATTAGTGAAAGCAGGGAACGATAATATAAATCAGGAGCAGGGCAGACACGGACCTGCCGACAAGTTCTCGTGTGTGCTTTAAATTATGTTCGAATATCGGAAATATCCACTAGTAATTCATGTGAAAATTATGGCCTCACTTTTTTTGAAATTTTTTTCGACGTTAGTCGGCATTTGATGTTCATGATATATCGTATTTCCTGACAGGGTCATTGTACATGTATTAACCATAGAACTTCAACTTCCAGATGATGATTTTGACGAGAATGTTGACGTCTTTGTTTCCTCAACTTGTTTATTGAAAAATAATATCGCTTTGGAAGTTGATCATACGTAGGACATGCTTTTGAAAATCGAATCAACTGAGAGATATTTACCTTGTATGCAGGTGATAAGGGTTTATTGCTGCATGCATAAGGGTAGTTGACAAGCCTAACTTACAAGGAATAAATAGAATAAAAAGATCAAGTAATCAATTTAGCATCTATATCTGGAAAACTTTTTCGTTTAAACATAATGATTCAAGAAAAGGATAATGTCGGACCTTAAACTCCTCTTTGCTATATCATAATTCGCTTTGATTATTGATAAAGACACTAAATAATCGTTACCATACTGACAGCCCCGTCCCATCCATCCGGGTTCGCAATGGTTCTTTGGAGATGAACATTGTCCATCGGAATTTCGAAATTCCCCAAGGCAGTGCTCTTGTCGGGTGCAATTTCCTTTATTGTCTATTGTTCTTCCCTCATGGTAATTGCAGTATCTTTGTTCTTTTTCTTTTCAAAAGAAATATTAATGATTATGTTAATCTTTTAATATATGACAATTACAAATGCAGTTTATCAGGTAAATGAACTGGGAAGTTTTTGATTAACCAGAAAGTCACCTGTATGTTATTCCAATGATTTCTGTCTAATGTACCATTGTGGCAACGCACTTAGAAACAATTACGCACTTTGAAAAAAACTTTCAAAGTGCGTTAAATTTGGGACCAATTCAACGCACCTTGAAAAAAAAATTTCAAAGTGCGTTAAGAGTCTACATCAATATATTTTACCATGGAGACACTTTGAAAAAAAAATATGTTTTAGTCATGGAAAGATTTTATTTGTTATTTATCTTTCAAAAAACTAAGCCTAATCCTAACCTCAAAAATAAATTGATTTACTCCCGTCGAAAAGAGGAGAAGACTGGTATCAGATCCCTCAGTCCAAATCTTTATCTTTCCAATACATAGGTGTCGGTAACAAACGGGGGAGGGGAGCAATAAACCTAAAAAGGGTACGCTGCATTTTCAATGCTTATAAAATGTATATATCTTTCCAAAATAAGTGGGGGCTTAGCCCCCCATCCCTTCCCCTGGCCCTTCGCCCAGTCTCGATGTCAATGCTATACTCAAAGCATTCATATAATTATGTATTTACCTAACTGGTATGACGTTGAAAAATTTCAATAATAAATGAGTTAATTAAAACAGATTAAGTACAGTAAAACGTTTGAGAGAGAAAGAATTTTCATAGTTTTGAACAATCAAATTGGCCCCATTTTATCATGATAAATGCTAAGTTGCTTGAAGCTTTCCTCTATTAATGCCCCCTATGCACCTTTACATCTACTTATCAAAGACTAAAATTCAACAAAAGAAAGAAAGAAACGAATTAATGAACGTAAACAATCGTCATTCTTTTTTTCAAGACCCTTTAATTTTCCCTTTTATTTTATCAAAATCTTAAATATTTAAAACGTCAATATCTCAGGTCCTACACCAACTTTATCATAAAAAAGTTATCAAACCAGGATCTGTTATTTATCATACCAATTATTTGAAGGAATATTGATCAATCTGTATATTTTTTTCAAAGTGCATTAATATGGTCGATATTGACGCACTTTGAAAAAAAAATATTTTTTTCAAAGTGCGTTAGCTTGGTCCCAAATTTTAACGCACTTTGAAAAAAAATTTTCAAAGTGCGTAATATTTCAAAGTGCATTGTAACATACCATGTATTTTTTAATGATATCTCTATTTCATTTTTCAAAAATCTTATTAAAAAAATGAAGCAAATATTTAAAAACAATCGTGACAATAATTGCTTTGGAAGCAAGGATATTACTTATTTAAAAAAAGTGATTTGTTTTGCTCCGCACTATGGAAGTCAGGTTAGTGGATAATACTTCAAAGTTTTCAAAGAATGAAAATCCTTTTTTTATTTAAAGAATTTTGTTATTTAAAGAAAAAAGAGAATGTCTTTACATATTGTTGCAAATTTGAGAACAGAACATTGGTATATTTAAAAAAATATTTTGCTTATGCAATTTTTTTTCTAATATAGAGTTTTTATACTCGATTACTCTTAGGGGAGAAGTAGAAATCTGAAGATGATAAAAGGATTAAATAGAAAATTCCCAAACATGTATCTTATTTAAATTGGATGAGCATATCGCATGTGACAAAATGATTTTTTCTTGTGGCTTCAGAGATACAACTGGCGACTGTAAGTTCTCTATAATATGAATTGTTTTCGTGCATTTTGTTCAGGGTATATAAATATTCTGGTTTGAAATAGAATATCATATTTATGCTGAAATGAAGTAGCCAACTTTGCATTTTATGTTTATTGTTTAATGGACTTTTGAGCTTGTATACTGTTCGTTATCTCCATATATTTCATGAAGTAATAAACTTTTTATCTAGTGGGTATTATGATCTAGACATTTAGATTTGACACTGAGTCAATGTAAAGACATACCACGAAAGAACAACTTTTCATCTAAAGCATATTCAATATACGTGCATGTATAGCTAGAGGAAAATGGTTTCATATTATACGTATCCTGAGAATAAGATAAACTAAAATTTTATTGGTATTTACTTATATCACAATAATCTCCAGTCCATCCTGGGAGACAAGCTGTACAGGCACGGTTGTCACCTATTCTGTCAAAGGGCGGGTGGCAATTCTCAGGAAACAAATGATGACAATCTGCTGTTCCATTCTTTGAGGGAATACAAGCTAAATATAAAAAGCAGTTCTGCGTGTCATTCTCAAATGACTTTTGATTTTTCTTAAAACAGGAAACGACTAGTCATTTATTGATTATTAGTTTATAAATGTAAGAAAGAAAGACAGGAAAATATATTTTTAAAAAATAGACTGGTATTTACGTGACATATTTAACTCTTATGTCCAACACAAATTTAATTTTTGATGGAAATGTAATCAATTTCATTGTACATTCATACCTAATAATAGTCTGTCAAACGTAATTATATATTGTCAAATGACAAGAAACGTCATTGTCGCAAAACGAGTTACATTTTCTGAAATGAGAACAATAACATAAACACATTACATGTATATACCTAAAACGTAAACTTCACAGAGGTTGATTATCTTTTCATGGTCGATATAATCACCCCTTATTATAACCTCATTTACTAATTCATTAGGCATGTAGGAAGAGTCAATCCAGATATCATTTCTATTGCTTTGTTGTTTGTCACTGTAAATCAAACGTTCCTCTCCAGAGACAGTTTTCACATGTACAGTAAACCCGTTTATTCGTTCACCTATAAAATGTAAGACATATATATCAAATCATGCATTAAAGAATATTTTTGTCATTACACTGTTGTTACTAACAGGAGAAAGAGAGAGAAAGGAAGTTTCAATCAAACTATTGATACATAATCACTGTAAAACTTCTTCCCTTTAATTGGAATACACTTACTTCTATCACCTCTATTTGATATATACACCGACAATATTCTGTATAAACCACCCAGCATCACGCCCCAGAAGGGCTTCTCTCTTTCAGGTTGAGTATGTATACAGGTATTCCTGTAAAAGTTGTGGTTGCCGTCCCAGCCATCCACCGCCTTGTCTGATGCATAATGAGAACTGTTTTCATAAGTGCTTGACTGTGAGGTTTCTTTCCACAAAGCCACATTTTTACCTGAATTAAATATTATCTTTAAATAATTAAAAACAGGAAGGAATAATTTACAAGAATTCAGTGCTAGTGAAATTGCAAGATATTTGTATGTTATTTTTATTTGAAAATGAGCAAAATATATAACAGGTCTTCAATGTGTGTTAAAACGGATGTAAATTAAAAATAATTTAGAAAAAAATTAACAAAAATGAGGACTATTAAACATATACATGTAAATTTTATCAATAAATCAAAAAGGAATCTCTCTGTTTCAAAAACTTCTATTATTTAAGGCATGAAGCTTATTTCAACTTATGTTATACGATATAACATAACTTGGGGCAGTTTACGCTTTATAAACCGCGAAGCGGTTTATAAAAAAGCGTAAACTGCCCCAAGTTATGTTATATCGTATAACATAAGTTGAAATAAGCTTCGTTACTTATAATTTAATTTCAATGTAGACAATGAGACAATTTTTCCATTTTTTCCTTTGAAAAAAGCTTCAAATATCGCATATTTTAAAAGTTAACGTCAAGCGGAGTAATACGTTTTTGAAGTAACTCATTGTGACGTAGGCAAGTTATGTTATACAAAATGGATAAAACCGTTTAACCAATCAAATGACGTGTTACAGCTAAAATTAAATTATTTGCTAATATCTCTCGCCTTGAGCCATGCCTAAAACTGAGCATTTAAGTAGAATATTCAACACTTGAGAAAAGTTATTGCCAAACTGACAAATCGTGAATATAATTTTGAATTTTTACAATAATTGATAGACAGTATATTTTAGACAATTTCCCCCATATAATGAACATTGATTGAAAAATAATAGTAAGCATACTTTTATTGCATAAGTCTGTCTCAGTATTCACATTTTTATGTATACTACATTATGCTCTGCACCTATTTTTTGTTGTTTTATAGACGTTCGAGTTTAAAAATGTTCATTATATGTATATGTATTTACATTCCCAATGCTTTTTTCCGAGATAAAATTACAAATAGAAAGTACTACAAAACTCTACTGGTTCATCGATAGACTTGGTTACAAAAATCACGTGCAGGGCGAAAGAAAGAGATAGAAGCGGCGCTTAGAGCACGTGGATTAGCAGAATTAAGAGCTTGTAAATATATGGAATAACTGTTTTTTTGGTTATCACACAAGCCACTCGTTTGATCACATACAAATACCAAACACACTTTTAAATACTACATTTACTAAATATCTCAAAATATTTCATTTAGATTTTTCCCCCCAAAAAACTATGATGGCGCACAAGAATGGTTTATGACAGTTCTATCATATAGTTTTATATATTAATTGATATTTTTGCAAAAAAAGACCAAGTTCATTTCTAACTGTTTTGTTATGGTGATGGTGCTTTAAGATAAATGATAATGGCTCATTTTGTCATTTGAGTATTTCCAAAACATCCAATTGATTTAATATCCAAAGCTGAGTTTATCACTATTTTTTACTGTAATGTGTTTTTGCTAAGAGACATTTCCACAAATTAAAAAAAAGATATCATTTTTATTTTTAAGCAAAAGTGTTATTAGGTTTTAATAAAAAAAAAATGTAGAGCAATGTATATCATGTCAACTTAATTATCTCGAATATCAACAGATGAACTACTTGTCAACCCAAATAAGTTGCATTTCAACACAAAAAAAGTTGCATACTAGCATGAAGAGGTTGCACGTTCACCTTTTCATATTATTATCGCAGGTGAACATAAATAAAGTTACAACGATTTTTTATACTTTTTCCAAGCTCTTTCCAAGCTCTTTTTTTTTTTTACTTTATTCATCTTACATGTCAACATATCGTAGTACAGTTTGACATAGTTATGTTGCATCTTGACATAGTTTATGTTGCATCTTGACATAATTATCTTGCATCTAGACATAATCTTTAAAAAAATATTAACTTGCGAACAGTGGCAGAAATATGCTACCATATCATACTCCTAAGAATGCATATATAGTAATTGAAAAAAGTATCTTTAAGGATATGTTGCAGTAAAACTAAACTATATATGACAGTTTTATTTCGATCATGAATATAAATTCCAAACTATTCAAAGAAAGAAAATTTTATACCTCCAAAAACCTCAATTTCCTTCACCGTTAATTTCAGATCAAATGAAAACAACAGTCTCTTGGTTTTCACAGGATGTTTGAGATAAACCGTGGAATCCGTCCGCAATGGTCCGTCATAAACTGTTATGCCCTTGCTGACTGATATTCTTACCGTTGTTTGGTAATCGTTTGAATCTTAGGTAATTAAGAAAAATATTAGGAAAAGTTCAATCAAATTTCCAATCGAAATATTTGGAAATATTATTATGAATAAAATTGAAAAGTTATGAAGTTTCCTTTAAAGTTATAAGAAATAAAATCGATAACAAATTCAATTCAACGTTTGATTATTATTGAACAAAGGACTTAATATCTATTCAGTTTCGAAAATTGTTAAAAGGAAATCAGTCTGATGATTTTCATCGTCTCAAGCCACGGTTCGGATTCCGCTTATAGCGCTCGCCAGAATGGAAGAGGATCGTTCATTTTGGCCGTGGTTTGCGACGATGGATGATCTTGTACATGTCAGATAAAGTCATACTCAGGCAATTAATTATATATATGAGGTAATGAGGTCACAAAAGTATTGAACGAATGCAAGCGTCAATTTCGATAAACATAAAATGTACCAAAAAAGATGTTCACAGCCGACACGACGAAGACCCCTGGAAAGGTAAGTTCCTCTCTGCTTCTTATCAAACGACTTGTACTCATAAGTCCGTCGAATGCAAAGTCACCCTTTGATGTTTCAAAAGCCAAGTTAACTGGTATTAAATAAAAACAATTCAATTTAGAATATTAACATTTCCGATATAAAATTACAAATTGTAAATGTACTTTATTTCCCCATCAATGTATTGGCGTAGTTATAAAATCACGTGCAGGGCGGGGCAGATAGATAGACAGAAGCAGGACTTTGAGCACGTGAATTGGCGGAATCAAAGCATGTCAATATAAGGAATAACTATCTGATTTTTTTTAATTTCATGACAATGATCAATCGATTGGCTTGCGTTAAAATTTATATGCATAAACGCCTTCTGCATTTATGCAAATTATCACGGAAGCCAATTGATTGATCACATCATGAACTCGAAAAATAAGACAATTATTCCTTAACTACGTTTGATGACTTCAAATAATTTACTTTGAGTTGGTAGAAGAATGTATAATTTATTTGATTTTACCAGGTCACATAAGAAGATGCTTTCTAGATGTATGGAGCCATGATATATGTTTTATGCTTAAAGAGATAATTTCAGGAGAAAGGTATATTCATACATAAAAGGAAACAGGCTTTAATTATTATGCATTGTGCTATATAGAACAGATTATACATAGTGCTCTATAGAGCAGTAAGTCTAGAAGAAAAGATGTCCAAGGCTTCAAATTGTCAAATATCACAAATATCTTAATGTGGTGTTAATTTAAATCTCAATTCTTGGATTTTTGATAATATGAACATTTATGTAATTTTACATTACTTTCCAAAAGTGTATGAAGTAGTAGGTAAGATTTAAACACATTGAGAGGTTTATAAAATTGTGTATCACTTAAGAGAACGTAGACCTTTGGACGGTTTTGACCCTTTTTCAAATTTGATTATTAAATATTATGCATTGGATAAATAAGTGAGTGAATTAATGTTTGATAAGTATACTGCTTATGACTTCCAATGCGATGTGAATAAAATAATCTTCAGGAAATATTAAAGATTCGCATGCTTAGGGGTATTTTTGAAATGACTTCCCTCTTGATAGAGCATCATAAAACATTCGTTGAGTCCAACTCTGTAATTTCTAGCATTAAAGAAACACGTGAACATTGAAGATGAGCTGTTTACGACTTATAGTACATTATGAAAAGCAACAACAACAAAAACATGTATTAATAAAAAAAAAAAAAACTTACTACAATATGAAACATACAGCGATGAATAAACAAACAATTAAAAAATTTAGAACAAAAATTCAGAATTACTTAAACTAGAACTGCCCAAAAGGGACAAATACCCCCTTCCAGCTAGGTACTGCAGAGAGGATGCCAAGTCACTAATATCAGTATTGGTGTTCGTACTTTGTTTAAGTATTTAGAGTAAAAACTTACTGGTAATTAAATCATTATATATTTTGATTAAGTAAATCTAAAGTGTAGCTTAATAAAACGACAATTATAATATATGGATTGATATGGACTAAACACAAATTATGAACATTTTCTTTCAGTGATCTTGAACTTGCACAAATGACCTTGGATCAGTCAACGTGATGACACAGCCTCAAGTCATAAGATTTCATTATGTCACCCTTTTTTTCCATTCCTAAGTAACTTCGATTTCATCCCATGTTCTTTTCCAATAGTGTATTGTTTATTTGAACAGTCAGATTTGTTCTCCAATGAGTCTGAGTTCATTTGCAATTAGAAAACAGAACAACTTATTTTTGTGAGAAAGGTCATTTATTCAATTTACCACAAATATATTTTTTCAGATGATGAAATTATTGTCAAATATTGATTATAAAAAAAGACTGAATAAATGACAATAAATTTGCAAACGTGGAGTCAAAAAACCGCCAACACCGAAAGTGTAAGGTTAAGGGACCGGACCCCGCCCAAAGACTTTTTTGAATTATTTGATACAGATTATTGTGGAACTCTTCAGCAGCGGAGGTTTAAATGAATAGCAAACAGCCATCATGCTGTCAGGAAAAATAAACAACTTTATATTTTACTAGATTTAAACCTTTTAAAGGTAAGAAAGGAAAGTTTTATAGTGATAGAGACTTTAAGGGATGTTCAAAGGAAAAAGTTGAGGCGGGCAGCTAATTCATTTCAGCCTGTATTTATTGAAACGAGCTGCCGAAGTCGGAGCAAAAACCCCGAATCACGTTGTGTGGCAATGCACTGAGATGGGTAGTAGACGTCAATCCAAATTTTCAGTCTCTACCCATCTCGCTGAGATTAGATTTTTTGTAAACTATTACTGCAGCTAGTAAACTAGCTATTTTGTTTTAAATATGTCCTGTTGACCTAAATTTTGAACAACATACATGTAAATTATGAGAAACCCTGTCAAATTTTATTCTTCCCAAACCCCCAAAAGCCATTAAACCCTATGGAAAAATAATAGTGAAATAACGTTAAAATAGTATATGAAAATAAAAATATCTATAGAGCAAACCATATTACTAAAAATTATGTCAGAACTATCCATGTTGACCTCTGACACACCCTATAACACTAGTATACCCATTATATGGATTCATTTTGTTAGAAATTGTCATTCGAATGTAGTTTTATAATGCATTAGACTTCCATCTCACCATTTGCTGTATGACAGGCAGAGCAGTATCTTCAGCCGCAGCACTTGTTGCTGCACCTATTCAGAAGCTGTCACCTTTGTTTAATTGTGTATTTAACGAGGCCGAGTCTAATTCGAGTGTGCATGGCATTTGCGCAGCTTTCTAATTTTATGCAGTCATAAGAGCGACAGTACACCTTCCCCAAATTTTGTGATTTCAGTATAAAATTAACATACATCTGTCACGCCTACTGGTCTGAAAATGTTATTTTCCGACAATTATTTGGGGAAAAAACGTTGAAATGGCTCTAACGTCACTGTTTTCTGATTTTGTAAGCAATGCATGGCGCTGAAGAATGACACATGACTCGCATATATGTTCGTAGACGTCCATGGATATTATACTAAAAACTGATGACGGAACATCAAAAGAAACATACTAGCAATCTTAATATTGCTATTGTTTTTTTTACCCAAAAATTATCTGCGCTGATAATTCATCTACACCGATATGTATTGTAATGAGTAATGAAAAAGGCCTATGCCATTCAAACGTTGGTGTGACCTGGACTAATAGAACAGTCCAGGAGCCTGTTCACCCCCGTTTGAATGGTATAGTCCTTTGCTATATAAAATGCTGCAGAGGCAGTATCGGACATTCTGAAACCCGTAGAAGAAGCGGGAAGCGGAATAGAAGATTAAAGGCAGTAATAAAATTAAAAGTATTTAAAGGGTAAAAGAAGGATAAGTAAGGCTAGGGTACAAAACACCGGTCTGTATTTAGCCAAGAATTGAACTGAAGTACAAGGTGTAGTAATCCTGAATAAGGTTGAGGCACCGAGTGCTCATTTCAATAGGAACTTAGTTACGGAACCAGGTGCAAGGAGCCCAGTCATAGCACCCGGTTACAAAGAAACTCTAATTGTATCCCGCTGTTTAAATAAAAAAAAAAGTATCTCCTGAAAATAACAAATAATCATTCTTGTACGTAATAATTTGATTCCCCATATAAATTATAGGCTCAGATAGAGCTAGAGGAAAAGTTTATATATTCTTGGATAATATTAAGACCCTGTATCTCCTTAGGTTACACCTTACAGTATTTATACCACAATATGGCAATTTTAGAGGTATTGGGCATCAAAAAATAAACTGTAATCAAAACCTAGACCAACCTAGATGGTAAAATTTGACAACTCTTGAGATAGCCCCCTAAGAAATCGGGTTGTAAACATTTGATTTTTTCATCTTAAAAAAATATATAACAGTAGAAATTAATTAACGAAAAATTATCAAAATCCCTAGGGCAGAAATAATTTAGAATCGGCCTCTTTAAGCCAATGAAACTCAAAAGAGACTTGAGGGATGGAGTAAAATAAGATCCTGATGCATAAGATCCTGGTATAAAACAAGTAAATTGCAACTAAGGTCCTATACTGTGTTTTGTAAGGTTCAAGTAATTAAGCATTGCTTTGACAGGACACATAGGATTGTTACAGTTTTGGGGGATAATTTTGTTTTTGTTTGAAAATTGCTGTGTTTGTAAAATTGCATTTTTACTGTCATTCCTGTTGCACTTTGAATAAAATATTCAAACTGCAGATCTAACACCTGCAGAACTTTTTTCCTATGGGAGCTAGATTTTTGTGCCATTTCCCCAATTAAAAAAAACAGTAGAAAGCCAATGACAACATTGATTATACAGGCCAAGAATGACAACTTCTGTTGCTGAAATAAGTATAGAAAGTACATGTATTTCCTGTGTTACTGGTAATCTGGAATTGTAAGATCCTTTGAGATTTTGTACGACTTTTAAACTTTTTTCACAAAAAATGATGTTCATCCATAAGAAAGATAATTATAGATATCAACGTAAACAGATATGAGTTATGAACTCTTTCTCTCAGTGACCTTGAACTCGCACAAATGACCTTGAGTCATGGTAAAGACACACCCTCCGTTCATAAGCAATCTTTGTGTTAGATAGGAACTCACCATGTTTATCCATGTGGAAGATATGGACCAGACACAAATGACCTTGGGACAAGATCAATCCACACCCTCAGATCATAAGCTTTGTATGAAATAGGAACCTACGAAGTTTATCCACAAGAAAGATATGGACTAGGCACATATTATGTACTCTTTCTTTTAGTGACTTCGAACTTGTACAAATGACTTTGAGTCAAGGTCATAACACATATGGTATAAGCAATGGTTGTGTGAAGTATTAGATTCTAATTTTTGTCCATAAGAAAAATATGGATCGGACACGTTCGCACAGACAGACAGAAGGACGACAGACAGACGGACAAGATGATTCCTCGTTTGCGATGGGTGTAAAATTATGAAAAACGATCGTCGTCACATTTTCATCTTTTTTTTAAATATGGTAAGAAATTAAGTTTATTTTTGCGCATAAGAACACTAAAATACAGTGCTTGTAGTATATAAACATGTATCGCATAAGTGGCAGCTTAACTAATGCTGGAAATTATCTAAGATTTAAGAATCATATTTTTTTGAAAATCATGTTTTTATAGATATATATTTTATGTTATAGATTATATACATGTAACTACACAAACAGGAGCTGAATACATCTGAGCTTACCATACTGGCATTCTGGCCCCATCCATCCTGGTTCGCACTGGTTCCCAGGTCCTCGGCATGCTCCACTAGTCGCATCAAAGGTTTTGTTTTTACAGTGTTCAAGCTTCGTGCAATCCTCAGTGTGTTTATACTTCCTCCCTAATTTGTATGTACAGAATTTCCCTGCATAAAACAAAACTTAATTTTTTTTTATTTTATCTCGTTACTTTCGTTTCTTAAATTCTTACTGTAATATGTATGTCAGACATTAGATGATAAAATTTATACTTATGCTGTTTTCAAAACTTATAACTTATCAATTGAGAAATCTTATTTTGAAAAAAAAAATGAATGGCATGATATGCATTATTTTGGCATTATAAAAAAGTCAAACAAAAATGACTCACCATTGATAAAAGGGATTTGTAAAATTGCAGCAAAATAAATAAAAGTAGTGAGAAGAGCAGTCATCTTGACGACTGAAAAAGAGGAAGTAAATTTTTTAACGAAATAAAACTCTTTTTAGATGCAGGCAAAGGATGCGGAGAAACGCTATAGGACACTTTAAGTTACGAAAGAAGAGTACACAGATTTAAATAGGGGCGTGCATTGGTAATTTTGAAAAAAAAAACCTGGCTTTCTTAGTCATATTTGTTTTTTTTAATCTTCGGTCACAATTAAACATGATTTAATAGTACTTGTGTTCATTTGCCTGTCGAAAGTAATAATGGTTGTTTTTAATATTGATACCACTTTTTATTTTACTTCAAAATATTATTTAATAATTTAATTTTAGTTGTAACACATCATTTGATTGGTTAAACTGTTTTATCCATTTTGTATAACATAACTTGCCTACGTCACAATGAGTTACATCAAAGACGTATTACTCCGCTTGACGTTAACGTTTCTAATATACTTTATTTGAAGCCATTTTCCTAAGGATAAAATGTAAAATTGTCTAATTGTCTACATTGAAATTGAATTATAAGGAATGAAGCTTATTTCAACTTATGTTAACGATATAAAATAACTTGGGACAGTTTACGCTTTTTTGCGTAAACTGTCGCAAGTTTTGTAATATGGTATAACAAAAGGTGAAATAAGCTTCATTCCTTAAATAGAAAATTGAAAAGGCCTGTGTATCAAAGCCTTTGAATTCCCTTTTCATGATCACTTTTATCTTATATGTACATCTTCAAAAGATCAAAAGAAACGAAATCGGACGTGATTTTGAACTTGTATGAACTTGTACATGTAAATATAACCTCTTTCTTACAATTTGCAATGACCAACTTAAAAACTATATCAAACATTGATATAATGCACATAAGAGCCTAAATGTATAAGCGTATAAATAATTGAAAATAAAAAAAAGGAATATTGGGTTGACCGCATAAATAAGTTGAACAGAATATCTCTTTGATTGTTAAAGAGCACTCCTAAAAAGCAGCCAAAATTGATAAATATGTAACAAATCACATTTTCTGAATAGTGAAATATAGTGTTAATTTAGAATTTAGATTCCATACCTGATTTAGTGAAAGAAAACGTAGAGTGGTTGGTTTAATGTTAGGTATTTTATTGAATGTTTGTTTGTTGTTTTGCGTCCCTCTCATATGGAGACGAAACCTCTTGCCGACGAAAAGCTGCAAATTTAGCAATGAGGGATCTTTTTCTCGCCATCACTTACTGCGACACGTCACTCGGTTTATACGGTCTCATCCGAAGGACCGGTCTAAACGTCCCACGGTTGGATTTTATTGATAGTAAGGAAAGAAGAAAAAGGATGCATATATACATGTTCTTGTATTTAACGAAGGTTTTTTCTCAAATGTGTAACTTATAATTAAGTGTAGTCCGGATGCTTTTAAAAGATAACTGTATAACATTTATGATTTGATCTAGATGTTTTTAACTGAGAAACATTTATAATGTATTCTGTTTTTAAGGGCCCGGGGTAACCTAACGTTAGAATGTTTTATTTATCGACTGATTGATTGATTGATTGATTGTATGTTGACAGTCGTTTTACGTCCCCATCAACAATTTTTCACTCATATGGAGACGCCCATAGAGTAATAAAAAAAAGTTTAAGAGTTGCACACAAAGGAGTTGAACCTTATTCTCGGGTTAAAATCACAGAGCGGGAAGTAAAAACCGGTCCTTTTGATGACCGAGATGATGTGTCGACGAAAACGATCACTTAATAATCAATGGTTCGACCCTGAAAGTGATAGGGTCTCTATAGATGTGAAAAATCTCGAAATGGATGTGAAACAAATTGTTTTAAAGTATTAACCTAATTGTAACGCTTCAAAAAGCCGCTAACAATTCACTAGTTTATCTGTTAGATAATATCAAGAATATTGAAATGATGAAAAACAGAACAGAATAAAAGAATTCACTGTATATGACCTAAAATACATTTGTTTTACTGAAATAAAAATACATGTATTTTATTTTTATTTTATTACAATATACAAATTAATCATTTATATCTCTTTTTGGTTTATTTCCTGAAAATTCTTCCTCATTTTTCCGTCCTGTTTTCTGAATTGTTAAAAATACTTTGAAGTAACCTATATATCGAATTTTTAGCATTATGTGCAGAATTTTCTCCTCTATGCATACGTTTTTATCTTGACACTTTCTTAAACCGTGTTTTTTAAATTTTATTGTATAATAAATTAACATTAAACATTTTAATGCTACATGTATGTTAAAATTTGTCTTTTATAAATTATCTTAAGCTTTTAGAAAACGGCACTTTTACTACAGACAAAAAAAAACAATAAGTCAGCAAAAGAATGTTGTTTGGAGAGAGTAAGAACTTGAATGGGATTGAAAGGACAGCAACGGCACAACACAACTGAAAGTATCTTTCTTAACTGTTAATTTCAGTGACAGAACACGTTTTGCTTTCATGATTAAGTACAAATATCCTGTTATTTATTACTATACACATTTAAATCAAAATGGTCTTAATTTTTTAACACTAGAACCAAAAGGAGCATTGACATTGAAGTAAATGCATCTTTAACTCGTTAATTTTGAATTATATTAGCTCCCTCTTTTCACAAATAAGCGTTGCAATTTTGATTCTAAAAATTCACTCTAAAAGATCATATTATCAATTGCAAATATTAAACGCTTTATTAAACACATAAAATATATAGATTTAACCTTACCTTTTAATCGTGGAATTGTTCGTTTTTCTGGAAACGGTATATAAAGGAATCAGTCATAAAAAATAATTAAATGCATAGATAGCAACATATATCATCCGATATACTCTGTTCGGCATTGCACGCGCACTAACTGGCACACTAATGTACATGAAAGGATAATTTTGTTCCGTGTAGATAATAAAATAACTTTCTTCAGTATTGATGATATAATAATGGAGAAATATCAGTAGAAGTAACCAGCTCCAATATTCAGATAATGAAAGCTTTGGTCGTCTCCTCTCAAAGGACTTTCATTTTACAAAAATTAAACAGTCTAAAGTTAAGCGTCTAAAGAGGAATGATGACAGTTGTTATGTAGTAATATGATTATAATTGCGATTTCAACATCCCCTCTTTCAAAACTTCCTTATTCATATTTTCCAAGGAGACTAAAATTTAAAATTTGTTACAGTATGTTTTAATCCATCTATGCAAGCCATGGGATTCAATCCAATAATTCCTACCGCTTTGCTTTTGGGGGAACACGGAGGAAAGTAAATTCTTTGTTTATGGAATACATGTACATAATAATCGTGCTAGTATAAGAAAGATACATGTAACTAGTATTACTTTTGAGTTCACCCGGGCTGGTGGCTCAATTGTGCTTTTCTAATTGAAGAATGTCCTGCCTGTGTTGTCTGCTTTTCTGGTTTTTGTAAACTGCTTTACATTTTCAAATTCTTCTCCAGAACCACTAAGTCAATTAACACAAAGCATTCGAAGGTGAAGGGAAATGCCACGCCATCTTTCAAATGGAAATGATTAGGAATTTTTGAATTGTGTTTGGTATCCTTTAAAACCATTCCCCTCAAAAACCAATGAGCCAGAAAACTGGAAATGTATTAAATAAATACAGTAGATTCAAATTATTATGACCCTCCGGGATTAAGCTGCTTAAGCTGGGATTTCATATTGTCCAAAAGTTCTTTAGAATTGTTGAGTATCCACGTCTGATTCACACCACTTCTTGAATATATTGTTGCACAGTGCTCTTTAAGTTTTTCCTTCCCTACTGTCAATATCTTAGGGAGAAGTAAAGAAAGAGGTTGCTTGAACATTTACTGGAATTCGCAATGTATCTTTGTGTGTAAGGATTCTTATGAAATTTTGGAATCCAATATAGATGTATATGTATGGTTATTCAAAATCATTGTGGTCCTTCGGAATATGAAAAATATTCAAAACTGACATATGATTTTGAAGAACGTCTTCCTTAGAAAAGTAACTATGAGTAGAAGTTGGATTACCACTTGTAGAATTAAATCCAAGTTCTTCTAGAATACAATTTATTTAATGAGACTTACAATTTATTCCCAGATGAAAACGGTCGAAACAATGGAGGCTTATTTTTTGTGTAGTACGCCATAAAAAATGTGATGTAAAGAGCCACCTTAATTATTCTTTTCAAGTACAGCAGCCCTGTGGGAATCCAGGTTAGAATAGGTCCTCAGTACCCCCTTGTTTGTCGTAAAAGGCGACTAAATGGGACAGTCCTTCCGAGCCTCCTTCGGATGAGACCGTATAAACTGAGGCCCTGTGTCACAGCAGGTGTGGCACAATAAAGATCCCTCCCTGCTCAAAGGCCGTAAGTGCCGAGCATAGGCCTAAATTTGCAGCCCTTCACTGGCAATGGTGACGTCTCAATATCAGTCAAATATTCTGGAGAGGGACGTTAAACAGTATACAATCAATCAATCGATCAATTTATCAAGTACAGCAGGACCATTACCGTTGCTCAATCGGTAGGGTCCTCGCTCGACTGACCCGAGTTCATAAAAAGTAAATATATAGCAACTGTTCCTTCACAATGCGTTTGGCACCTAGGAGTGAAAGTTGCAGATCCCTCCGTTGAGACCTTAAAAATCCAGGCCACGGTAGATGTTGGCACGATAATTATCCCTCACTGCTCAACTGCCTTAATGTCCGAGTAAAGCGCAAAATTTGAAGCCCATCACCGGTATAAGTGTCGTCTCTATATGAGTGAGAAATTCTTGAATGCGACGTATAACAACACACAATCGATCTATCAATCAATCAAGTATTGTCAAGCCGTATTTCGGCATACACTATATATAATAATTTTAGAAGGATCCTCAAGTAGTGTAGTTTCAAGCATGTTTCAAACATGATACTTGGGGAAGCACAAGGAGGATCAAAGTTATAAATAAGAATATCTAGAAATACCTGAGAAAATCTTTTCGAGAAACCATAAGCATGATTATTCAGATATATTTGGGAGCCTCTTCCGGTATTGTAAATTGAATTTGATTTTAAAATCATGATCTTGTGATGTAAAATGAGGCTGAAATGAGGTCTAAAACTTCAATGTAGAAATATTTAGGAGAAGCGTTTAGATACGTATGTTTCCCCTGGAACATTAAATATAGCCTTAGTTAGTTATATTTGGATGAAAGCTACTGCGCAAAATGTAGATTCGTGTTTAATTATGGCCCCAGTAGTAAGGTGGAGCCACAATTGGCAAAATATCACATTTCAATAAGTAGAAAAACTCTTAAAAGTTCTCTTCTCATCAGCAGAATGTTTTTGATAAAGATACATGTAGTGTAGACTGAAGTTTGTTCAGATCCCACGGGTAGGATGATGCCATAAACCGTACGTATTATCAATTTGTAGGAAAAGAATTCTGATGATGAATAATAGACGAGCCAAAGTTTTATGTGAGCATTATGTCTAATGGTCCTCCTGATACTATAATGTGGTTAAAACTGGCTTCAATATACAAATATTGCTGCATTAGTACAATTTACAATGTATGCAGAAATATATGTTTGGGTGAGAAAAAAACCCACCGTGACAAGTTTTGCCAAATTTATAGAGAAGCATTTTCTGTTTTCACAAATCAGTCACAGTGTCAAATTGGACTTTTAGAAACTGAAAATGAGTGGTATTTTATTGTCTACATTATGATTCATCTAGTGTTACCATATTGAACAAAATGTAGGACTCCAAAGTGCTATGGGAATCTAAAGTCTGATGGTCACACAAAAGTCCGATGATCACACCAAAGTCCGATGGTTCGACACGCCAAAGTCCGATGGTGTGTAAAAAAATTAACATTTATGACGTCATAGTACTACCGCAATATGCGATATTCAAATAAATAAAATCATTATGCGAGAACTAACCCTAATTATCTCGAGTTGATGCAAAGCAAAGACTTATCCTAATCAGTCAAGGGGTGTGCGAGAACTGACCCTCATATCTCCAAAATGTGCAAGCAATAAGCAAAATCAATAAAATTAAATGCGACGACAAATTCAGAAATGATGGCTTTTGAAAGCAGGACAACGGCGTCAGTGATTGATATCGAATTATTGTGACGTCATATTGTTTCTCCTCACCACCGGGTTTTGGAGTGTCAGACCACCGCACTCAAGCGCAGCGCGTCTAATAGGAAACGAGCCATCGGACTTCGACGTGACCTTCGGACTTTGGCGTCCGTAAAGACAGCGAGCCATCGGTCTTTGGCGAGACCATCGCACTTGGGCGTCACCATCGAACTTTCAAGTCTAACCAAATGAATACATACAATAAAAATGAGCCTGTTAATGATTAATAAAATTATTATCAAAGAGATAATTATTTTATGATTAAAAGTTGAAATTTGAATATATCAATTATGTTCACAAATGGAACAAAAAATACCGTTTCACAAATGGAACAAAAAGAACCGTTTCATCTTAAAACTTGTTATTTTTTGACACTGTTACCTTTTTGATATTATTAATTTTGGTCACAAAACCAATTGATGTGTACACTTGACTCCGGATTTTTACAATCAAATTTTTTAATTGCTGAATTCGAATATGTTAAAAACAACTCTTGGCAAATTAGTAGATCAGGACTACGATATAAATTGTCAAGGTGACAAAATATTTTTATTAATTAACGAAAGAATAAAATTAAACACTTATATCTCTGGCTTTGATTTTTAGGCGTAAAGATTTAATTTTACTCTATTCCTAATTGATCATTTATCTGAAAGAAATATCCTTTTTATTTCAGAAATAAACAACGTTATTTAGTGAACATGATGTTATGAATAGCAATTGCTCTGCTGGCATATTCCATGATGCGCACTAGCGCTAATCGTTGTTTACTACTTATATTTGCATTCTTTGATGTTGTCAAGAATATCAGAGGAAATCCTGGGTTATATAAGGATGTGGCTTGTTGTCTTCAGTAATGAAAAACACACGGCTTTAAAATTAGTATACCTGATCATTGCACTTTTTTTTCTAATAAATCACAAACAATTTATAAAGTACTGGCATCTTTTAAAACACAGTTATCTGGATACAAGCTGCGCCGTCGTCACATTCTCTTAATTTTTGTTTTGATGCGATGTGACGTCATCTATCAACGTTATTGAAACCCTCTGACAAAAATCAATAATTTAACCGTTTGATGAAAAAAGAGAATGCTTTAATAATCATTCTAACTCCAGAATGCTTTTCTATAAAATTTTTAAAAATTTTTATATTCATTTTTAAGAGCTGAAACCGTTCTTGAAATAGACATACTATTAAATTAAAGAAATTTTGCTTTTTCTGAATGTTTTATCACCCTGGTGTGAAGAGTTATCGTTCTTTGTACAAATATGCAAAAATATGATAAGAAAAATAAAAATATGTCAATTCTCTTCAATTTTTAAAAATATTATACAATTAAATACATTGACCAAAATTAAATTTTTGAATATATAAATCAGCAATTTTAAATTGTTCTGAATTTCTTTTTTTTCCAAAAATTATTATTAAAAACTTATATTTATTTCTTTTACGAAACATTTCATATATATACTTCTCAACATGATAGGGCTATGTAAAAGAACTTGTTCCACACAAGTGAGCTAGAGCAATTGCACTCATAGCAGAAGCAATTGCGTCTATAGTTTTATGAACGCAATTGATGACTACATGTTCATAGAGGGAGAGGGCAGTGGATATGCAAATATATACATGTAAATGATTTCCCTAGTTAATAAATTATTAATTTATTAGAGAACCACGTATCTTATGAAAGTAATTTTGAATCAATTTTTAATGTCGCTATATTTGATGATGCCATTAAATAAACCATCTGTATCTTTACGTCCATGTAAGATCTACATAGCTTCCACATACCATATACAAATCATTACGTCGTACATAACAGGAACATATTTGTTAAAGGCTTTCATCTAATATAATAATAATAGTTAGTGGGATGTACTTTTTTTATCGACGCGCTGATCAATTAATACACGATTCTCCGACCTTACAGAATGCTTGGAAAACACTTAATTCTTTATATTTGGTGACCAAAATATCTGGCGACTTTGATTGTGATTATCCTTTAGTGCAAATCTATTTGTATGACCCTTAACGCCGATATAACAAAAACGAAGAACAAGAATTTAAAATTTAATAAAAGCAAGCTATTGCTATACAAACATGTTTCTAAATAAATGTAAACAATAAAAATTCAGTCAGAGAACTAATATAAACATGTTTAAGTGTACATTTTTATAGCATATTCAATAAGGTTTGTATATGATTTCTGATTATCCTTTGCACTTTTTTCATTTATTGAAAATTTGAATAGTCATCAAATTGGTTCAAGAACTCCATAACTGCATCGTAAGTGCAACTGCACCTAAAAAATGACGAATCAGATATTCTATTATATTTGAGAATACTTACAAAATAATGTTTGAAAAAATTGAGATTTATCTTAAATTTAATTTACACATCATAAAGTACGATCCTTCTCATATTTCTTGCATTTAAAAATTATTGAAATTTTCAAAGTATCAAGAAGACAATATCACTAAGTGATGGTATCAGTGAGATTAAATTTGACCGGTCCTATATTAGAGGCAGGGTCAGGTCTAGGTCATTACCTTTTCCCTGGACATTAAGAATAAAAAAAAAAAATACTGGTTCCAATCGAGAAATGCTATACTTGCATTTCAAAAGATTGATTTTTTTCTTTTGCATAAAAAGAAACTACCATACAGGGCCTACAAGATGATATAACTACATTGACAAAAATATTTTAATTAAAATGGATATTTGCTAGTCCGAATTTTCTCCACTTTTCTTGCATTTTAATGATATATTAGTTATTTTTATATGCTTCCTTCATGTATATGTTTCTTATTTTCACATAAGGTAAAGTTGTCACATAAAGATACAAAATGATACAAAAACAAAATGTTTATATCGTTTATTTAGAGATAAAAACACTTTTTACGGATTTTTGGCTTAGGGTATGTCACTCGTCAGCTTTTTAGAAGAGTATGTGCATATCTGTTTGCTGCAAAGCTATTCATTAAAATTCAATTTTTATAACATATTGAAATTCAACAATGTTAATGCTATAACATTCAACGAGAAAACTGCTCAGAAGCAATATTTATGAGGGACTGTTTCTTGTGGTGGGTGGATATTTAGCAGATAATTCTGCAAATCTGCACATTTCTTAGATTTAATTTCTTGGAACCTTAGCCTCACATACATGTACTTTTACTCGGAAAATATTCTCCGTTATGATATTGCTAGGAACATTAAATATAGGTTTAATTAATTTATATTTTTAGAACAAGTTTTACACCTTCCTTCAACAAACTTTGCCAAAAAATAAAGATATGTCAAATAAGTCTAGATAAAATTCATACCATTTTTTGTCTGAAAATCACATATTTTGACCAATATTTCAAAATTAATATCACTGACACCAACTTTTTCTTTCTTTATTTTAAAGTACTCGATACTTGTGACTGATGAGCACTTAAGCCGTAAAAAGCTTGATTTACTAAAATGCTTTCATGTCTATTAGTTTTTTTATACCCCAAATATGTTACTTTTTAGTGCAAAAGGTCAAACAATAATTTACGCGCATTAATTTGCAAGATTTGTTCAGTGATAAATATTACTTAAGGTATTCTATGTAAAATAAAATTATATTTATTGCAATGGTTACATCTGATTAAAGATGGTACAGGTTTAAGTAATTTACCAAAGAGTTAAAGCTTAAGTGTAAAAAGGTCAACTTAAATGTACCGTAGATCAGTAAGATGCACACTGACCAATTTTATCTCTACGATTTTGAATCACACAATATGAGTACTTAACCAAAATATACTTCTAAAAAAATCCTTGATTTAACAAATTTCACGAGTGACATACCTTAAATCTGTACTTATATAGGAAGCTTTTAAAAGCTAACATAGTTCTAGTTTATTTGAAAAATCATATTTATTTGAAATATTTTGAAATTTCCGTCCCTCATTATTAATTTTACTTACATTAAAATTTTTTTTCAAGTCTTTGATTTTGTAAAAAAAAAATTACAATTGAATTCATTGTTCTTAAATGATTTTGAGAGGCAGAAAAGAAGATATTTTCATACGCCACCATTCCGCCAAAAAAATAGTCCCTTGTAGTTTTCAAACGCAGTTTACTTTTTCTATATACCGTTGTACAATTGTGATGAGAAAAGAAAAATACGGTCTTTTAAGGGTTTTCCACTCTCACAATTTTGATTGTACAAAGTACAAACATTGCATTTATTTTCAATTAATATAGTTTAAATTTTCTAATTATTGCAATATATATATATATATATATATATATATATATATATATATATATATATATATATATATATATATATATATATATATATATACATATATATATGTTTGGGCGTTATATATGGTCCTTATATTATATATAATATTATTTTTGAGTTAATATAATAAATGTTGTTAGATATTGTTACTTGCTTGGGCCGGTAACATAAAGTGAGAGCAGATTTGCATCTTTCATGCTAAAAATTTGCCTTATTTTGTAGTGTTAGCTCCAATTAATTACTAGTTTCTACTAATCACTTTTACTGTTATGTCTTATCTGTAAACCTTCTTAATTGTACTACTGGGGCATGATATGTTTGCTGTGGCCTTGGTGGGGTAGTTGCGACGATTTTACAAATCCTCTCAACTGGTGGGCTTTTTTACCCCACCTGCTGCCACTAGTCGATTTTTGTGTAAATACACTTGTCCGATACTTTTTGATACATGCTTTATAGATATTCATTATGTTATGCAGTTTTGTGGATATCAAGCAGATATTTCTTTTCTTGTAATTTTTGTATTATTCTACTTTTTGGATTTATATGTGATATGTTTGCGGATTACTGATGTTCCTTTGCATTGACAAATCCCTCCTTTGCAATACTGTAACTTCATTTGCAAATTTACATTGTAGCATCCATTTTGATATAATGGAAATGTATTCACAATTTTACAATGTTTAATCCATTTTTGTACATGTATAAGAAAACTGTAATTTGCATATCAACAATTTGAAATCCATTTTGTTTATACTGGAATTATTTTAAAAAGTTCGTACAAGTTTATGATTTAATTTGATCAAAATATTATTATATTTTGATCAATAAACTTTTTTCAACACACATTTCAGTTTGTCTAATTTTGATGTGTTGGTAAGGAAAGAGGAGGCATAAATGCAATTTATTTGTATAAAAAATTCTATGCAGATGAATGTACTGATAAGTCTTATATATGTTTTATTTCATGAACTACTGAACCTTTAGGAGACCTAATGTAACTATTGCCCATGGGGAGCCCCTTAATCAAGAAATCTCCGTATGCGCATTTTGATTGGTTGAAAGATAGCGTCTCCTTTGTGGCATCAATTTACCAAGAAGTACAGTCTGTATTGTTTTGAATTTCCCTCCCACCTCCCTTTCACAGTATTTGATTTTTCAGTTTGATATTTTATATTTTGTTGTCTTTAATCATTGTAGTTTTACATGTTTTGTTTTCTAGATCCTAGTCATTTTTTAGGTGGGGCTTTTTTACCCCACCTGCTGCCACTAGTCGATTTTTGTGTAAATACATTTGTCCGATACTTTTTGATACATGCTTTATAGATATTCATTATGTTATGCAGTTTTGTGGATATCAAACAGATATTTCGTTTCTTGTAATTTTTGTATTATTCTACTTTTTGGATTTTATATTTGATATGTTTGCGAATTACTAATGTTCCTTTGCATTGACAAATCCCTCCTTTGCAATGCTGTAACTTCATTTGCAAATTTACATTGTAGCATCCATTTTGATATAATGGAAATGTATTCACAATTTTACAATGTTTAATCCATTTTTGTACATGTATAAGAAAACTGTAATTTGCATATCAACAATTTGAAATCCATTTTGTTTATACTGGAATTATTTTAAAAAGTTTGTACAAGTTTATGATTTAATTTGATCAAAATATTATTGTATTTTGATCAATAAACTTTTTTCAACACACATTTGATTTTGTCTAATTTTGATGTGTTGGTAAGGAAAGAGGGGGCATATATATATATATATATATATATATATATATATATATATATATATATATATATATATATATATATATATGTCATCGTATTATTTCGGATAGGAGACATACATAAACAGAAGTGTATAATGTCAAAATAAAAATTGTACACTTTTTGTTAATATTATGATAAAAATTATGTAAAAACTGGTTCAAATGCATAATTCTGATGCGGAAAGTTCTGATATACTTGCTACTTCTAAGATAATTTTAGATTGTGAATACCAGGGAAACTATTTTAACATACAAAGCGAAAAAAAGAAAATGCCTGAATGAAGATACCTCAGAAGGAATTATTGCCCTTGTCATCATTTTTTTTTAAAGATTTAATAATTGATTTAAAAATGGAAATAAACATTTTTAAAATTCTTTGACTTAAAAATATTTATCATTAAAACTTTTGAAAACATTCTTATAAAAATTATTGTTTCACTTGGCATGGATTTAAATTATTAATAGTTTTTGCAAAAACCTACATGTGTATGACATCACAAGAGGGCAAAATACCTTAAATAAATAAAACCTAGATATAAAAGACATATAATCAAAAATACTTTGAATATTTCATATTGTCAGAAACCAGAGAAGAATCCTATCTTAGGCAGCAATACTCATGCAGTGAAAAATGACATAATTTACAACATTCTGCCCTAATTAAGAAAACCTTGAGAGGTGTTATATTCTTAAGATTTTTTTATCGATTATATTTATTAAGGGTTCGTCGCATATATTCAACAAAAATTATGCTTTCTCATGAAAAGAAAAACCGGAAAAAATTAATTGATAAAAAAAAAATGAACAACTTTTTACTAGATAGAAAATAAATATGTAAATATCAAGGTGAACTACGTGCACAAAGTACTGTAAACCAACTTTTATTCGCGTGCGAGAAATTTTCGCGAGATTCGCGAAAGCCTCGTTATCGCGAATATTTCTCCCCGCGAATGGGTCCTTACCTCTCTTTTTCTATTAAAAACAGTTCCAAAAAGGCTTGGTCGGGAAAATTAATCGTCGCGAACTACTTTACTCCCGGTAAATCGCGAAATAAAGTCGTCGCGAATAAAAGTTGGTTTACAGTAAGTCAGTATCGATACGCCCCCTCCCCCACCAAAAAAGATACGCTATATCGAATCGTATTCCAGCTTAAAAGTTCATCGAGAAAAGGTAAATTGTGATTAGAGTAAAAAAAAATTATATTCTGGTTATTTGTCGATGGCTTGTCAGAAATTTCCATTCATTTGCACGTTAAACAGTCACTTTCCTATCAAATAAACTGGGAGATATAAGCTGAAAAATCTTGTTGCACACTTAAACTGCTGAATATATTTTGGTGAGGAGCAAAGACACAGGCTTATTAAAACATGTATTACAATCCGCTATACATGTACCTCCTTTTTTTAAAGGGTTTATTTTGTACATGTTATTTGAGAATTTTATTTTTAAAAATGTAAAATATTTAATTTTAAAACTGATTAATTATTTTCTCCGTCGAAAAAGAACTAAATTACCAACTGCAGAGAAAAATGAAAGTTCCTATTAAATACAATTGGAGTAATGAACCTTATAAATACATTTTGTTGTTACGTTTTTTTTTCAGTTGAAACTTGGAACATATTGGTAATGTAATCTGTCTATAGTTTGTAAAATTTTCCTTGGACGCTTGACACATGTTTCGTTCATCTCATAGTTAGTATTTTTTTTTTTATTTTATATGGACAATGAATTATAATCTGAAATTAAATGCAAGTACAATGCTTTAATTTTAAAATTTTGTTTTGATATGCAATGTACTGTATTATTTCTACATAATAAAGATTATCATAAATACTTAATCATTATCGATACTAGTGTAAGCATATAAAGTGTTGCTCTCTTTCAAAAATACAGTAAAATAATCAGGTCCTTGTCAATAGCTTTTAAATGACATATTCTTCGCACATAAACTTACCACATTTGGTATGATACTTAGTCTCACAATGTGCATCTGCTGAATCACCTGATGTATAGCGACATCCTGTTCTATCTTCAGTCTCTCAAGTACAACTTGTAGAACACAAAATAATCCACTCTTCTCAGCTCCATTTCTAAATTAGTCAATTAATAATTAAATTCTCCTCTTTTGTTTTATTTTCCATGAACAACTTTTGTTCTTAATATATAGATAAAACAATAAATCAAATCTTTACCAATTACATCGCCCGCACTGAACGATATATATGAAAGGAGGAATCATTTCTTTACATACTAAACACTTTCACAATGACTTCTAACCATATCTGTATGTTACATGCACTGAACAACTATTGGTCCTGTATAATTACTGTAGTTGTGTAGCTCAACAGCATTGGTCAATTTCAGGAATTTCAAGACAGAATTTGGAATTGTTTTACAGTCTGGCCAAAAATTACATTTGTATAGTAGTATCCGAATAGTCATCGCCTCCTGCAATAGATTTAGATGTTTGATGGAATAATAAATAACTAACATATGTGTCTTTTAAAGATATCACAGTTTTCTAATTGTTTTTGTTATATAAAAGGTTTTTAAAAATGGGAGGGATTGACACATCAAATCAGGCCAATATTTCCAGTTTCAATTCTTGAATATACTTTTTACCTAAGAAAAAGGTTTATACCGTTTCATTTTCTTCTTCCTCTTGGTAGTAGAGAAGGTCAATAACTGTGAAGTCTTTTTCTTCTACTTTTATTCAACCTTCCATCAAGGCATACCTTAGTTAAAAAGACCAGCTTGGGCATTTGAACCCCCAATTTTCAAATTAGTTCCAGAGATGTTCAATGAGAAAATGATGGACTTTACGCTGACAAATCGAATGGGTAAATCTGATTGTTTGCGAGAACGTCTCGATAAACCCAAGCTTCACTGGACCGTTGGTAAACACGCAGAAAATAAAAATGGCAAACGGCGAGGACATGCTCAAGTGAGAGGAACCCAACGTAAAGCTGACCAGCTCAAAAATCCAAATCGCGCAATCGGTTTCTTTCGGGTTTTTTTTTTTAGTGAATTTAATGATTATGATGGCTTACTCTATTAACAGCAGTCTTGTGGCAGTACAATGACGATGTTACAGGTGGCAGGATGAATAACCCGATCATGAGGCCGCTCTGTTTCGTGTCAACGTCATCGTCTCAAGGCCCTCTCTTAAAACGGCTAAGACGTTCTATGGGGGTAAAATTTACTAGCGACTCACAGCAAAATGTGGCTGCCTTTGTCTTTACTTAGGCAACGTAAAGGCCATACCCTATGAAACTTCCGTAAACTGTCACAAGATTGCAAAAATGCACATCGTCTATAAATCCTGAAATACAATGTGCATACATCAAATGCTACTTTTAGATCGTTGACACATTTGTCGTCATCAAGTTGCGCGTGTTTTTGGCTTTTTAGCACTTTCCCTAGGTGACTTCATACACTTCACGGTTTAGTAATTCTGATCACTGATTCTAGTGCAAATGAACCATGATTCTCATCTGACCAGTATTTGCGGTCAAAAAGAATTCGCGTACTATGTTACCCTGCGTTTCTTTTTCTTTTCAGTATTTTTAGGAAAAAATACCTGTAGAAACAAAGCATTAATCCAGACAAGCTTATTGTCTTCCCCTTTCAATTGAGACATTTCTTTGTCAATCAAAATGATTATAATAATTATTGAGATATTCTGGTGAGAATAAAATAAAAAGTGTAGTATTTCTAAAATATGGGCACATTACATTTATTGAAAGTTATAAATATAGTAATTTGGTATATTAATACCAAGACGCAAAACAATTAAACGTTTACACAAGCACCTATATAAGAATATTGCTCAAGATCATTTTGAACAAGACAAATTACCAAGTCAGTGGTGTCACAGTACAACACGTATGTTATTTTCTATTTGAAAATTTAGAGGGCAACAATAACGGCTTGTAATATGGTGAAGAATTCAAATGAGGAAAAAATAAGGAAATAAAAAATAAACCCAAATTGTTGACCAATTAAAAAAGAAGTAATTGCTATCTGTAGGAAATAAATATGTTCTACGGACATCATAATGAGAGCATGAACATTCAAAATCTGTGCACTATATCAAAGGCATACCTCTTATGGTTTCAATGTATAGAAGATGTAAACTATGTAAAATGTAAAATCTTTTTGAAATGGTTACAAATTTTACTACGCACAAAAACGAGAAATAATCTAAATCAATATAATTAAATGATTAGGATTTGTTGGCATAAAAAGAACTATTCATATGGTTGACGTCAAATGTCAAGAAGAATCTTCATGCGAGAAGCTTTTTAAGGCATATAATACAAAGCATGTTCACAAGGCATTCGAAATGTACATCCTAGGTATGCTAGGGAAATAGAAATTTAAAATAAAAGCAAAAAAAAAAAAAAAAAAAAAAAAAAAAATTCAATAAAAGAAATTGAGAGTCTGAGGGTCAGCTAGTAATCATTGTCGCAAACCGCGGCAAAAATGTATTATCCTCTCCCATTCTGGTCGTGCTTGAATGAGAGTAGAATATTTCGAACTTCAAAAAATATTGACCAATGCGAGTAAAGCATAGCCGGAATATGAACTTCCAATAGCCAATCACACATAAGGAAATATTAATTATTTTCTGATAATGTCAATGTTGATTACAATAGTGATAGAAACAAATATTTTCATCGGTTAAGCATGACGTCACAGCATAGAGGTGTAAATATTTAAGATTACGATAATTTATGTCACGGGTATGAGAGAGTTACATGCGGACTCCGAACCGTGGCTTGAGACGATGGCTAGTAACCAGTGATGGATTTTTATCGTAACATTACCTCGCTCCTAAAGATCTTATCCGAAAGATCCACATCTTTTCCTTCAAAGTGCTGGGCAAGGAACTATTGCTACCCCGTAGAGAGTACTTTCAACAGATGAATTAGTCAAGAGAGAAAGAGAAAAATGTAAAAGAAAAAAATCATACGATATGGGAATAGGAAACGAAAATTATGGAACGCCATCACTGCCTTATAGCCTACAACAATGCATTTATTATGTCAATTTATCATTACGTGATGTGAACATATCTTTACGTTATGTCCATTTTTTAAGAGATGATGTAAATATATCTTAACATCATATCAATGCTGAATTACGTGAAGTAAATACATCCTTTCATTATGCCAGTACTTCATAACTTGCAGTAGAAAATTCATTATAGGAAGTGATAATGTGTTTACATTGTGTTAAAACTTTCTTGCATGAAATGAATTTTTATTTACACCATTTCATTTCTTTAATATGTGAGGTCAAAACTGTATTACGTCAAGTAAATTTTGTTTTATAATTAAACTTATCATTACACAAAGTCAAAAGCCCGTTCCTTTTTGAGAATGTATATTTCTATTATATCAAAGCATTATTACGTGATATGGATTTATCTTTATTTTACGGCGAGGACATCATGATGTGAGGTGAACACATAATCTTACCTTTATGTCAGTGCTTTATTACGTGGTGTAAAAAGTGTATAACATAATGTGAACATATTTTTATATTATATCAATACTTTATTACATCATGTCAAAACTCCATTCCGTAATGTGGATATATAATTACGTTATGTCAACTCTTTCTTACGTAATTTAAAAATTTCTTTATATTGTGTTAACTCTTTATCATGTTGATTCCAAAAGTTCATTACCTGATGTTAAAAAACATTTACATTATCTAAAAGCTATATATCTAGTATATAATGAATGTTGACGACCGTGATTTAATGACTGGTAAGAAGGAGGGGGGGGGGTCCTGATTGATTAGGACAAATTACAGGCACATAACATAACCCCCCTCTTTTCCCAGACATAACTTTACTATAGAAAATGTAATGTTCATTGAAACTGTACAGTCCCCACCCCCACTTTTTGTTGAAGTATAATCCACTAAGGGTATATTTAATATATCTGGAAAAAATAGGACTGATCGAAGTTGGACCCCTCTCCCCCAAATAGGATTTTCGGGCTTGGACTTTTTTTTTCTTGGCTTGTCAAGTTTTTTCGGGTAAATCATTTTTTTTCTGGTTGACATCCTCCTTCAAAAAAAGATGCTACGTCACTGGAGTTAGTAAATTTTTTTTAATCATTCCAGGGCCAGAATTCTGTTACAAAAATCTTCCAGTCGCTCATCTAAATCAATTGAATATGCCTTAGTAAGCATGCATGGGCACATATCAGTGGCAGATATGGGAATCTTGAAACAAGGTGGACGGTATATGGTTGGAGACCAAGGGCGGAAAGCGGAGAATCTCTCAGGCTTTGTAGTTTTATAGAAAAAAGTTTTCAACTTAATTCAGCTAAGCTTATTGTGAAACTAATGCAATGTCCTTCAAAGTTTAAGACTTTTATTAAAAAAAAAAGAATCAAAATAAAAAGAAAAAAATAATTCCTGCACGACTCATAATATTTGATTTATTTAATTATGAGATTAAAGTAAACACCACTGAATTTCGACGTGACTTTAATTCACAGTCGCAGTGTTAAGGCTTTGCACGTCAATCATTTGTCGCTTAAAGTTTTCATTTAAAGATGTCATTCCCAAATCGCTGAGAATCTCTTCTACGACAGTTTTTCTCCCGCCATTTTTAGTGCTTGCGGAACGCGGAAAATACGTTATGCTCATATAAAGGCCGAGGATACCCGTGTTCGTATAACGTAATAGTGAATCGACATAATGTAGAAGAGTGCGCACAGTATGGCATGAGCTTTTCACATCAGTTAATAAAAACTAAGATCTCATGAAAAGTAAACATAACGAAATGCAAGTTGACGAAATATAATTGTAGTATGTGTAAATGTCATAAAGAGTTGACATAATATAAAGGAAAGTTAACACGATGCAATAATAGTGTGGGTTAATGTCATAAAGAGTTGACATAATGTAATGGAAGGTTGATACAATGCAATAGTAGTTTGGGTTAATGTCATAAAGAGTTGACATAATGTAAAGGAAAGTTAACACGATGCAATAATAGTGTGGGTTAATGTCATAAAGTGTTGACATAATGTAATGGAAGGTTGACACAATTCAATAGTAGTTTGGGTTAATGTCATAAAGAGTTGACATAATGTAATGAAAGGTTGACACAATGCAATAGTAGTGTGGGTTAATGTCATAAAGAGTTGACATAATGTAATGAAAGGTTGACACAATATAATAGAAGTGTTCTGCTATAAGGCAGTGACGGCGTTCCATAGAAAATTGTCGAATTGTGATTTTTGGCGCAAATAAATTTTTCCATGAATATTTTTGAAATAATAAGTTGTTACTTGGTTATATGTTGCCATACGTTTGTATATCTCAATTAAATGGCTGAAAATTGAGAGATTTAATTAAGCTTTGTTATTACTTCAGCAATATTAATTACTGAAAGGAAAAAGAAACGCGTGAGAACATAATAAATAAGACTAGTGAAATATTTTCGACTGTGTGGCCGACAATTATGAAAACTGGTCGGATGTGTAATTTGGTTACTATGAAATTAAATCGGTTTTCAAAACTACTCAACCATGAAATGTATGACGTCACGTACGAAAAAGTTTAAAAGCAAAATAAAAAAAAAACCACGTGCATACATGTAACTATATTAATAATGAGAGTTTTGAGATTATACCATTTTTCGAAGATGTCGTTGCACAGTACTCCTGGGGTTTCTCTTTCACTGTTATTAGTATTTTAGAGTGGAGTAAAAAAGGTTTGGTAGAACATTAACTGGAACCTACTAAATGATCTTCTAGTCAGAATATTTATTTTCTCCGGCAAGATTCATCCTTAAAGCAGTCGTAACTGTTTTGAGTACATATCTTCTGAGATTTATATGAAATTTGTCTAAAAAATGTAAACATTATCTCAATAATCAAATATTAATTAGGCATTTCAATACATGAAATAAAAAGAATCAATGTTGCTCACTTGTCGCCCACGTGCACCCAGCGATACGTTTTTATTGTTTTGTATAATTGACCTACATTTACCTCTTTCCTGACCCCTCCAGCCTGCCATTAGCCAAATATTATGTTCAGTCTTTGTTTTTTTTTTTCTCTTAAAGTTTTATTTGTGTTTTGATTTTTCAAACAGTTAAATCATGCATTAATTAACTTAA